TTTTTTTTTTTTTTTTCTTCATGTGTTTTTGTCACTTTTTTTCCTCAGTCTGACCCTTGCTTTCCCACCTCCTTTGTGATACCATGGCATGGCTGCTGTGAGTGAAATCGCAGTGCATGCCCTTGCACACAGCTGCTGCCCCAGGCAAAACCTGTAACTCTCTCATCCTAAAACATTTTGTTTCTAGATTTTGACATGATCTTCTAAATAAGCCCATTTTCTAAGAGGCTTTTGGCTGAACCCTTTATGATGCAGAATGATAAAACCATTTGGGATGATTTAAGTCAGCGTAGCATTATTTGGTCTGGGCCCATACGAAACCTTTGCTGGGCTGGGAGAGCTGTAAGAGGACCTTGGAGTTTTCTCTGTGCATGTAACTCTTCAGTTCTGGCGCTCAGGTCAGTAGAAGACCTTCTGGAAATCATACAGAGTTTCTGCATTCTCCACGTCTGCAGGCGTCTGCTCTGTCTGCGTTGTGCTACTTGGCCATAAAATTCTTTCCTCTACTGGAGTACGCAAAACTGAGCTGGAAATACTTTTTTTTGAGCTCTCAAAGAAAGCATGGGAAAGATGCAGTAGGTAACAGAGATCTGATGGAAACCTTGCCAGCTACAGTGCTATTGAGTATCACTTTTCAATTTTCACATTCTTAGAGGTGCCTCTCCTAATGGTGAAATAAATGCCCATTTATCATTCTTTCTCAAACACACTGGCAAATTTAACCTGTAGATTTGCCCTGGCCATGTATCCTGTGCGAGAGGGATGGTCACATCAGTGCTGTAACTGCAGTCTGTTATGCAGAGGCCAGCAGTGCCATGAGTGCCTGCAGGGCTTTGCTGGCTGCGGGGCAGGAGCACAGTGCTGCAGTCAGTGCTGCTGATGTGCAGTGTGTATCTGCATGGGGACCAGAGCTCTCTCAGCTCAGCTGCCAAAAAGATGTAGAATTCCCACACTTTGGAGGTGGGATGCACTGCTCTTAATTAGTAGCTGGGGAAAGAATTTGGATAGAGTCCTCTGTGAAAGCATTTTTTAGTTCAAGAAAATGACAAACAGACTTGTAAATTTTGCAAACGTACAAGATCTGGGGATTTCTTTTTCATTCTGTTACTGTGAGTTTCTCTGAAATTTTGCAAAAGGATTCCCATGTAAAAATCAAATTCAGTTTTTGCTTGCAAGGGCAAGTTGATTATGGAGGGTTGGTGGCCCAGCTGGGGTACTTTGCCCCTGGGCTCATTGCAGCACAGTAGTTAGGGAACAGGGCTGCCAGGAGAGTAGTGTGAAGGAATCTCTAGATGTCACCTGCAGGGTGAGCAAAAGGAGACTTGTCTGTCATGTGCTTTTTTTTTTTATATTGCATTTCTTTTCCCTGGAACACTTTCAGTGCTTCTTGCTTTTGAGCCAGTTATTTTAATATTTTTTTTTTTTTTTTAAACAAAGGAACAAAAGCATGTATTTATTATTTAAAGAAAAAACAAAAACAAAACAAAACCACACCAACATTCTGGTTAAAAAATTTGCTTGATACATTCTGTCCCAAGGGCAATTAATATCTATTATTATTTTAATGTGGGTTTGAGATTGTCATCCTTCTATATCTGGTACTGTAGCACTCTTTCCTTCTGGGAACTCAACACTGCAGTATATGCAGGTTGCATATGCCCGCTGCAGTCATGTTGTTAAAGCTGTATGTTGTGGTTTGTGAACCAATTCCTTTGTCCAGGTAAAAGTTTTGTGATCGTGCACAGCACAGGAACAAGGAAACTGCTCAGAAGAGGGCTTTATTTAGGATACTTCTGCAATCCTATCTTCAAGTGTGAGAAGGCTGCTGCAGAAGAGGGCTTCAAATTCATCTCCTAATTACAGTTCAGTGCCTTAACTTTATCTTTCTTCTAGTCATCTCTTCTTGTATCTTCCCAAAGATACCACTTTATCTTTCTTCCTGAGAGTTTCTACTGTGGCATGAGAAGATATTTTTCCGCCTTGCACTTCATTTCCTCTTACTTGGTAAACAAAGGGAAGGTGATCACATTTCACTTTATTAGGGAGAAGCGCAAGAGAAAGTCTTATTAGCAGTAGTGAATGCTCCTTTATAGTAAAGGTCATGTAGGTTACAACTGGGATGGGAGTGCTGTATATTTTATAACCTTGCGGTGATGCAGCCTTAGTCCTGATGACGTTTGCTCAGTGTGCCGGGTCCTTTGTTGCTACCAAACCGCATTTGTGGCATTCACCACAAACCAAAGGGTGTTCAGTGAACGTGAATAGCGAAGCACGTACATATATTGTGCTGTCCTGGAGGAGCCCTCCCAAAGGACTGTGAAAATAACTGGGAAAACACACCCTTTTGGCCCCCGGGTTCACAATTAGCTGTTTGACGATGTTCTGTGCTTCCTTCTTAGGTTACAAACTTCTTGATTAAATGACCTACATTTTGTCAAGGGGGAACAGCTGGTGAGCATGGTTTTAAGGCGTGGAGCGATTGCTGTCACGTCTCAAGATTATTCAGTGTCATGTCCAAAGGTTTTCATGGTTTTGAGATTCAAATACACTAAAGACAAATGTTGTGAATACACCTAAAATGATGGCTCACATTTCAACGGTTGCTGTTGGTGACTTAAGGGGTACAAAAGATATGGATCAGCAGTGCCAAGTATTCTGTTAAGTTCTGCTCAGCTAAACCCCATCACCTTGCTTTTCAGATGGTTGACACAGCTGTTCCTTGTTAAGCATGTTTGGGACTCACAAGTCCCTTTCCCCCCCAGTCCCTGCACAGAGCACTTCTCTGCGCTCCAGCTTCCCCCAAAGGCTGGGTGTTGCATGTTGCTGGAAGCTGCTCACAGCTCTGTTGTTGGCCTAATGCAGGGAGGGCTGTGTTTTGGGTACTGGAATCTGGGGTGAAATTCAGCATTTCAGCTGTCTTCTTACAAAAGCAGAGGTTTCTGTATTCCTTAGAAGTCTTGGGCTATTAGTGATTTGGAAAGATCTTGGTTATTGATATTTTTTTATTTGTGTAAAATGGCAACAGGCACATAATCCATAATAAACCATTTCTTCTTTATAGAGTAGCGTTTGCATTAATTTGGCTTCCGATCTGTATAAAAATTGGAGGAGTCAGTGTGAACAGAGTATCTGCCAGTACGTTTATAAAATCCGGTGGAGTGCTTGAAAAAGAGTTTGCGACAGTTATCCCAAAAGTTCCCTGTTCCTGCGTTCTCACTATTAGGACTTTTTCAGTCCTTTCCTTCAGAAAAGCAGAAAAACGTCTTCCATTTGGGCTGAAAATCTTTTTCCTCAAAACAGAAGGTCAAATGAGCCGCAGCCACCCTCAGAATCCTTGGAGATGCTTCCACTGCAAACCTTACCGTTGCTTCAAACATTTATTCTGAGAGTTAAAGGGTGAAGCTGTGTAATTCTAATACATCTTTAAATAGAAGAACTGATAACGCTTCGTGAGAGCAGAGGGGTGCATGAGACTCGTGTACTGATATCACCTGTCAGACTCATCTCACCAATCTGCAATACCTGTCTTATGATACAGGACATGAGCTGGAAATGCTGGTTCTGAGCAGCAAACCCAGACTGTTTTGTCTGCAAGTCTGTTGCTGAGTACTTCCACGTGTAGCTGTCATTTTGTCTTGCTGGGCTTTGTCGCAGTTAGATCTCTCTCTATTGCATTTTCAAATGCAAAATATTTTTTTGTTGTTGTTGTTTTTTCTTTCTTTCTTTTTTTTTCCCTACTAATTCCCAAAATAATTTCTGGAATGAAAACAGAGTTTCAGTCCAGCTGGTTTTTGGAAACGCCGATAAGTCTCACACCAGATGAGTCACGTCCTTTACTCTAACACCTGATGGGCATGTAACCCATAGCAGCTTGCAACGCACTGGTTGTTCTTTCTTTAGCTGCTGCAGTTCTTTGGCAAAAGTGTTTTTTCTCCAAGTACCCCAGGAAGGCAAGAAACTATTCCTCTGCTGTTCCTTATTTTGTGGATGGCTGTGTTGCAATGCTCTTGCTTTCTCCATGGAAATACCATTCTCTTAAAAATCCCTGTAAGTGAAAGCACAGCACTGTGCAGGAAAATCTGGGATTGCTTCTGTGTGCTAACGGACTTTGCAGGTCCAGTTTTGTCTGGAAGGAGTGGCCATCCAGAACAGAGGGCAAATAGGGATTTGGGGAAGTGTTACTGAGATGGTTGTGTTTGTTTTTAGCAGAAATCAGATAAAGTTGTATTACTCGGGCACGCCCGCAGTGAAGCAGAACCGAAGGAAAGGCTTCGTTATTCTTTGAAGGCAGGGAGAGAGGGGGGAGAAGACTGCATGTGAAGCTGTAAGCAGTCCAGAGAAAAGAAAAATGCTTATCTTCATGTCTTGAGACAAGCTGTAGGTAAAGGGGGAAATGCTTGTGAACTACTGCATTTCGCTCATGACCAGAAAACTCAGTTCAGACTTTGTTCTGTTTCATTGTCAGTAGGTAAATGCTGTGCCTGTGTTCCTACAGGCTTTCAAGAAATCATGACTATTTAGAAGGTTGCTGGTGTTGTTGTTTCTTTTAATGAATTGCATCCACTTTCATGTGCCTAATTTGTACAGCACCGTCTCTTGTGTCTTTGCTATAGTCATCTACTTTTGCCGTTTTCCTTTTCGCTTAATTGCTGGAGGTCACACTGTAAGTGCATCAGTGCTGTCTGCTGGGAACCTGTGGAGTATTTAGCAGCTTCCACAGAGGTACAGTGCTGCATAGTCCTAAGCCTTAACCAGAGAAGATACTCATACGTTTGAGCATTGGCAGCCTAACCATACAGTCTCTCTGCTGCTGTTCTATAAGCATTAAGAGAGAGCTCTAAGAATGTTAAAAAATTCCTATCTGTAAGCAGCTAACAGGGCCATAAAGTATTGCTTCAGGAGTTGTTTTGTTTTGAATTGCTTCCATGTGAAATGTGTACAGGAGAATAACTTAGCTTTCCGTTGCCGAGTTCATAATAACTTTTTCCTGTTGTTCACAGTCAAACTCCAGCTTCAAGCAGAAGAAAGAGGAGTGGTATCAATCAAAGGTGTAAGTGCAAACCGGTTTCTGGCTATGAAGGAGGATGGCAGATTGCTGGCACTGGTAAGCAGTATTTCTTAATGTATCTCTGTATCTTATTGCTAGGTCCTCTTTTCAGTCTGTGCGATGTATTGGGGAGAAATCAGCTCAGAAAAACTTGTGTCAATTAAGAGAGAGGTTTCTGCCCTCACTCACCAACAGCAGTGCATGCTAAAGAATTAAAGTGGAGTGGCACTGTCTGTGAGAGAGAAGTGAGAATGAATGTGTGGGGTAGGAAACGATGCGAACAAAGAAAGAATAAATGTTCTCCCTTTTTTTCCTCCATAGTAATTTTTTCCTCTTAAATTTCCTTTCACATAAGTGATGGTAAAGACCCTTTTAAAGTAGAAGGTAAAGCCAACTCGTACAAAACTTTGATGTTTTTGGCAGTAGCTTGTGTATATTACTTTCTCATTCTCCTTTTTGTAGGGAATCAAGTTGTTTTTTTTTTTTTTTTTTTTTTTTTTTTGAGTACATACACTTCCAAGCTAGTGAGAATTAAAAATAAATAAATAAGTAAAACTAGTTTGTTAGCACTAATTTTAATTTAAACTCTGTTCTTTTTTATTGCCATCGCATTAATTTTTAACTGTGTTTTGAAGCCAATCTGCTTAGCAGAATCTGAAAGGTAATAAGATCTCCAAGGCCTAAATCTTAAATAGAGGCTGTAAATTGTAGAACCACAGAATGGCTTGGGTTGCACAGGACCTCAAAGTCCATCTAGTCCCAACCCCCTGCTGCGGGCTGGTTGCCTCCCACCAGCTCAGGCTGCCCAGGGCCCCATCCAGCCTGGCCTTGAGCACCTCCAGGGGTGGAGCTTTCATAGATCTCTGGGTAGCCTGTGCAAGAAAAAAAATCTTTTGTCCATGTTCATAACTTTGAATTCGAACAATCTTTAAATGTAATGTCCAATGAAATACCGTTGTGGAGCACCCCACTGGAATTTTAGTTTTAAACTAGCTGTGATGCTTTTGGTATCCTGAAAATAGTCACATTTGGATTCTGTGTCCCAGCTAACAGCACTGGGAACAGGCGTTAATAACAAAGTGAATTCCTAACCCCAGCTGAACTGCAGCTAGTGAAAGGCCCATGCGAAGGGCTGCAGAAGTCACTAAGCGAAAGTGAAATTAGTCCAGAGGCAAACAGAATATTTCAGCAGCTTTGTGTGTGCAGGGAGCCCTGGTGTGCTTCTTAACCATGTAGCGCACCATCTCTTGCTTCTCCAAACAGGTTCTGTTTATGCCTGGGAATATAATTAAATAACCCATTTCAAGTTACAGTGTTATTTACTTGGATGTTTTGACAGATCAGTTGAAGAAAATGTGAATAGTAGTCTACTGTGCTATTCTTGTATTAAGGATAATTGGGAATTTCCTGTGGTACTGGTGTGCTGGCATTCTGCTTCCTGTTCAAATTACCCTCCTTAGCCTAAGCAGCAGTGAATGGTCAAAGTAAACGTTTGGCATCAGTTGTAAAATTACAAACAGTTGGCTGTGTTTGTATTTGGGATTTCCAGCCTCCTGTTGCACAGTGGATCTTGACTGTGTCCTTTGTAGGATGTGCCTCTGTTGCAGCTATGCACAGCGGTTTTGGAAATGGCTTTTACTTGAATCATGTTTGCTGCAAACACTGCTTCCTGCAACCCTTCAGATTTGCTATTCATAGGAGAAAACTCCTTGCTCTAAGAAGGTTTTGTTCTTCATCCAGCCCGTGTTTCACATCTAATGACTATTTCTGCAGTTCTGCAATTGTTCTCTGAGGCACAAGCTGTGTTTTCCAGGAGGATTTCTGTGAGTTAGTTTTCAGTTGTGCCTCTGCTCTTTTCTGCCTATAAACACGTCCGTGGAATTGTGCATAATTGCCAGCGTTTCTTCTTCAGTTTGAGGAGGGTTGTTTCAGCAGGAGCATTGTAGGAGCGCGTTCTGGAAATTTTTGTGCTGAAGTGATCTCATCAGTGCATGTGAATTTGTATCTGCTGAGGTCTTTGGGTATTCCTTTAAAAATACTGCTGAGCTTTAATTTCTAAGCAGCTGTTTAATTCTTTATTCCAGTATTCTGTGTTTTTCCATCACTAGTTTTGAACAGCATACTTTCCAATTATGACAGAATTTGAAAGATAGATTTGTTCCCAGGAAGAACATTAAACCTCTAAACATTATGAGGCCTTCACAGATTTCTGTGGTGAAACTGCTGGTTATTTTCTCAATTTTTCTTTTATTTATTTATTTATTTTATTTTACTTTTTCCTTGTCTGATCACCTTCTTAGTCATCAGTAAACCAGCCTAGGCCCATGTTCCTTCCCTGTTCAGTTTTGTTCATAGGCACGTATGGTACGTTGCCAAGTGATTCAACAGCTAAGAGCATGCCCGTCTTTCCGGACCTGTTTTTTTTGAGATACCACAATTAAGAATCTCTTCAGTATTGCACAGATGCACGCTAAGTTGAACATCACTTTACATAGTTTATTCTTTGTCCTGGGTGTGTTTGGCTCTTCTGTAATTGCAGGCTCTCCTATCTGTGCTTGCGTCTTGCTTTGTTGTGTGAGCCAGGTTTCTGCTATGTGAAACAAACATTTTAAGACTTACAGCCCCTTATGACATTGGGTAGGCGTACTAGTCTTATGTAAACACTTCTTAATGTCTGTCTTCTTTCTTTTTTCTCATTACTATCAAGCATCAATTTCTAATATTTAATAAACATACTATCAGCTTCATAAATCCATTTGAAAATCATCATTCAGCCTCGCTTTTCTTCCAGTTGGGTTCTTTTGTGTCTTTGTGGTTTGTGCCTAGTTTGATTTTTGCAAAATGGCTTTTTGCTTAGCCAGTATCTTACTACTTACAGTGATGCTTTGCGTGGTGGGCTGCATTCCTGTCTTGAAATCTAGATGTGGCTTTACATTAAGCTCTGTGTGCCCTCTGCCAACAGATTTCTGTTGTTGTGGGAGAGTGGTGGTGCTTACTGGTCTGGTCGGTGGAAGAGATGGCTGGTGATTGATACAGCTAATCAAAAGCCTTCCTTGGAAAATGCTTTTTTAACCAAGAATATTTTCTCAGAAATATTTTTTCAGAACTCCATCAGATTTTGAATGGCAGAATCAAAACATTTCACTTATAATATGGCTACTGTGTTTTATTTTGACTTTTTAGTTTCATTTAATTACGCTGATTAAGTATTTTCACTTTATGAAATCAAATGTTTCTGATTATTTCATTTTATGAAGAAACGTCTCAATATTTCTTGTGAAAGGAACGACTGTTTTTGACTGCCTTTCCTATTTCACAACAAATAAATTGCCAGTAGTGTACAGCCCATCACGTTGATGTGGTTTAGCTGTGATCAGGCTGGCTCTGCTAGACTGAAGGGACATTTTTTCCCTTCGGTCTCAGGGATTAGAATTGTGGCACAAGAATATTTATCAGTTAAGCTTTGTGCAAAAATGAGGACTTTGGTGTTCAGAGCAAACTATGTGGCACCTTTCTAAGTAATCTTTATCAACTTAAAGAGTAGGTTTTCTTTTTTTTTTTTTTATGTTCTACTGCCAACTTTTGGTTATTTTTGGTTATTTTTATCACACCCACAAGTTGCATGAATGTGTTTGGGGAGTTTAATCTATTTTTCTTCATAAACCTGAAAAATTTGAGGAAGCCCAATAGGAGGAGTGTGTTTCTTTGAACTGTGATTGTGTTGCTTTTGTGCCAAGTTGTCTTTCACTTGTGTCCAGCCTGTTGGTGCCTGCTTTGGTTCACTGTGACGGTTTCCCATGCTGGTGGCAGCTGAGGCTGAGCCCAGCGCAGGGCTTCAGTTTCCACTGCACTAACCTACACTGGGCTCCAAGTTCTGTTCCGTTCCCAAACGCTGTTCTTTCTTATGTTGTTTCTGTGTCCTCTTAAGGCTGCCTGTAATCCATTTCAGACTTGAATCATTGGTTAATGCATCTGTTTTCCCACTGCTACGCTGAAAGGCATTACATTATAATCACTCTTCAGAATGATTATTTAAAATATAAATCATATGAAAATTCATTTGGTCAATGCCATTTCAAATATTAAAGCATTAGTCATTTATGAAAATGATAAATTAATTATGGGTGTTTTTTTTTTCCTAAGTTCTTTTCCTTAGAAACCAAAAGTCTTCTCTGAAAATGGTTGAAGTGGAGGACCTGTATTTTTTCTATTGCCAAGACTTGAAGACATATGTTTGGAGATGGATTACTTTATTATAGACTGCATTTGAATGACTTAATTGCTTGTAGCTGCAGAAACTGGGCATGTGTAAGGAATGAACTCGTGTGTTTCTGTGTGTTCTCTGTGAAGTCTGGTTCTTTCAAGCTCACCTTTTTTTTTTTTTTTAGTCTGAAATAGTTTAGTTTGGCTAGTGTATGGGGCTGCTGAGTCACGGCCTGAACCTCTGATTGATCACTTGCAGAGGCGAGCAATGAGTCAGCCACGGGAGCACAGGTGAAGGCAATTCACCTGTGCTGCAGGAAGAGGTGGAGCCTGGCTCCACCTCTCCTAGACCCATTTAAGAGCTGACTGCCAAGGGGGAAGGATCCCTACTGGAGATCCACTCCACTGGAGTTTACCACGTGAGCCCAGGGTAAGATGAGTGTTCTTCTTTCCTGCTCTAGTATGTTAATTACATCAGCCAAACTCCTGGATATACTGTATCATCTGTATATTCATTGATTGTACAGCTACTTTATCTATTGATGAATATTACCGGAAGACTGTAGCTAAGATTTGCTTGCTTGTATAGGAAATTTCCTTACATCTCCTGTTTTCTCTCCGAGTTTTTGCATGTTTCCTTCTTCCTCCAGGCATCCCAAACTCTTTTTCAGGGTAAACGTGTATAACCGTGCTCTCCCTCCCCCAGTAAGTTAATTGCAGTGTTGAACTTCATCCGTCTTTTTATTTGAGTGTATTTTTCTTGTTTAAAGTATAGGTTCTGCAGGCAAATTTGGCGCTATTTATGCTACTGGAACAAGATTGATTGACAGGGATAATCTTTTTTTTTTTTTTCTTGTTGTGAATATGCTATGGGATAACTGCAGTTAAACTTTCCTGCTTTCTCTTGACTGTCAATAGCTCTAAGTACCAGACACAATTCCATTAGCCAGGTTTTATCTCCACTGGGACATAATAGGCATCCAAGGAAACTTGTGAATTGAACATCATCTATTGCAAGAATTTTCTTAAATGATCTCACTGATCTGAATGGAATCATCAGAAAATTAAGATACTTTCTCTTCAGCATGGTCACTCTTGGGGAGCATTGGTTTCCACTGAGTGCAGAGATGTGCGGATTGAACTACATTGCATTGTTGGTTAAAGCAGGCTCAACTTTCTGAGCAGCTTAGTGCAGCTGAGCATCTTCTCTCTGGTGACTGTAGGAAAATACTGTGAATATGAATGTGCACAACCTGGGAGTTGGGATCTGTCAATCAGTGCTGATAGACATGGCTCTCCTTACACCTGACTATATTTCAGACAGAAAGAAGCAAAACCAGGATAGAATCTGCTTTGTCTTTATTAGAGACAATTAATGAGTCATAGTTAAAAATAATTTTTGTAGGTGTTTTAAACACTACATTAACAGTAATTGTATTTTTCTTTAAGCATGAAACATTTCATACAAATTTCTTAAATCTGAATGTACTGCTAAGTTAATATCATAAGTTAGTCCTGTAAATCAGACCAAGTGCTGGGTTGTGATGAAGTATCAAATAATCCCTTTCTTTTTCTCTTTCAGAAATGTGCAACAGAAGAATGTTTCTTTTTTGAGCGTTTGGAATCTAATAACTATAACACTTACCGGTCACGGAAGTACTCTGATTGGTATGTGGCACTGAAAAGAACTGGACAGTACAAACCCGGACCAAAAACTGGACCTGGACAGAAAGCTATCCTTTTTCTTCCAATGTCTGCTAAAAGCTGATTTGCAGGGTGGGTTCTGAACGTATGCCACACTACACTTTAAGAGGCAGAGTTTCTTGCTCCTCACCAAACTAGTAAAAATAGAAGCTGTTGTTTGCTGATATCAGCTACTTTTGCAGAAAGGTTAAAACATGAATGTTTCTTCCTGTCTTCATACTGCTCTGTAAACCTATTGTGCCAGTGTGTGTGGAGGTAAAATTATGTAGAGAATCTATTTTCAGGATCAGTAACACCTCTATTTTTTGCTAGAGATTTCTATAGAGCTATTTTATTTACTTTATATTCACTTTACAGAGTAAAGGGAAACTAACTGATGCACGCTAACAGGAAAACTTGCCATTTAAAATAATTTATATATCTGTAGCTTATTAGAGAATAAATACTGATTTTTTTTCTTCTCAAAAATAAGTCCACAAATAATTTCAATATGGTCTAAGTAACTATGAATAAAAATTTTAAATTATTAATATAATTATGTGAAATTTGTTGCTATCATGTAATGTTTCTGTAGGATTCAGGCAGCTCCCTGTGGTATAGTTTGTAGAAGCGGCCTGTGTAAACAGCTGGAAACTCTCTCATGGTTATATCAATTTTATCAAAGCCTTCCCGGTATCCATAAAGTAACAGCTTAGCTACGTTGCTCGTGATGGGAGTAGCATGTTTTGTCCTGGCAAGCTCGTCCAGGTCCATCCACTCACACCGCAAGCATTCCTGCTGGCAGAAGTTGATGGTGAAGGAGGAGGGCTGCAGGCGACAGATGATGTACATGTCTGACTTCCCAAAGGCTCCAGGGTGTTTGTGTTGCTGTCTTATGCTTAGGATGGACTTGAACTCTGACTTGATGCCAGTCTCTTCAAAAACCTCTCGAACTGCTGTGTCTCCTAGGCAAAGAGAGCAATTCTTTCAATATATACAAGAACATACACTCTTTAAACCTTTTGATCCCAGAATAAACATCTTCTCTTCTGCTTAGCAAGCTTTTCAAAATGCACAGCTTGTTTGCCTTTCTACACAAGGACAAGCTAACTTTTTGGTCCCTGAACAAAACTAATTGCAAACTACCTTTCTTTTGCATATGCTACAAAAAGATGAAAGAAACTTTCCATAATACTGTCTCCAGGGTGTAGTTTTGAAATTTGTCTTCTATCTTGCAGTAGAATGTTCTGCATAAGTTTAACATCAAATATATAGAGGCCTTTAGTACCCAGTGCCTACAGAACATTTGTGTTTGTAACTTTCACTGCAGTTTTGATTACAAGGCAACTGGCTATAGGGAAAGATACTCATGTGCCATTACTAATGCCTAGGGAGACTGCACTGTACACAGCCCAGGGTGGCGCTTGCAGTCCTCTGGTTTAAAAGTGTTGCAAAGCAAACTCCCTAGGGCAAGTGATTTTTATTATAAGGATGCATTGCATAGAAATGGTCAAAGAAGGTAAACAACTGAGATTGGGCAGAATGCCAAGGCAGGCTATGGTAAGAAAAACTGAACAGAGATTTCATTTTAGCTTTGAGCTTTTCTTTTAGATCAAGTGCCATTTTCTTTTTCTGTTTTAATGTATGTATTTTAAATATGACACTTAAGCTAGAAGAAACAGTAGGGCTTGAATCTCAGAAATAAGCAAAGCGCACAGATTATTCTATTTGCATAATCTCCATTATGAAGCTATTCAGATTACTTGTGCAAATCAATTTGTTCTCATTAAAGTTAGCAGTCATGTATTTTGTTGCTTCAATAATCACAGGATTTTCAAGTGTTGTAACACTGCTTAAAATTTGGACTCTTGGGTGAGTTTATAAGATTTCATGTAAGTGATGGAAAAAGTAAAAATTTTTTTTTTTATTTTATTCATTACTAATTTAATATTGAAATGTGATGCACAGAACCATAGCATTTATTGTGATATTGTTAAGCAGAGGTAGGAGGGGAGCTCTGAGTGATTTGTTTCTTCCTGGTCCTTCTTAATATTTACATCCAGGCTCCATCCATAATCTCACCTGTTACTTGAGGAATGGCTGCTGGTACTCAGAATTGCCCTAGTGAAGCAGTCTCTCATTCTAGTTATTCTTTTCCCTCACTGCAAAAGCTCCTCTGGTATCTCTTGCCTCAGATCATCTTACTATAAGGGCAAGAGTGTCTGGCTAGGCAACAAACAGTGTTGGGGGTTCTTTAAAAAGCATGAAGCCATTCCACTGTGCTGAACGTAACTGCAGTGTTGAACAAAGAATTTTGATTTCTATCACTGTTTGACAATGCAGTTGAAATGTGATTCCAGAGTTACAAAAACAAGTCAACTTTCTCCGTGTGTTGAAATAATGAATTGGAATACAAGCTTTCCACACATTGCTATAGGATCACTGCTAAGATAAGGTATGAAACAGGTTTTAAGGTATCAGTACTGTTTGTAGAGCTTCTGCGTTGGTCTGGGCAGCGTTTTTGTCAAACTTCACTTATTAGAAGAATATATTCCTATCTGAAGACAGATGTGGGCTAAATAACTGTGAGTTTACCTTTTGAAACTAAGACCTACCTAATAACTGCAGTATAATTTAAGAATTAACCAGTCTGTGGATTGTAGTTTCAGGAGGTGAAATACAAGGACAAAAGCACAATCTTCTATCTCTTCGTACACATCCTTATTCATTCACCTTTGAACGTAAGTGCAGCAGCTGTGTTGAGCATCACTTGTGCTATACTAGGTAGAAATAGCTGTCCTCAAAACAGCATTGTTTCTTAATGCAGAAGTGCCTTATGTCACCTCAAAGTAGGTGGCCCCAAACATCAGGAACTGCATTGATGCTGGTCCTGTGCCAAGAGCTCTTAGTGTAAGCAAATCAGTGGATGAGGGTGGAAGGAAGCACGTGTATTTATTGCTGTTTTGCACACAAATATTGAAAGCTGGAAATGTTAGATTTTTGCCCAGGACGTCTCTGAGCCCCCTGCCCTGGATTGCAGTGTGAGCTGAGGACTTGCGATTTCAGTTTTACGTTTTGTTATCTGCTGATTATTTAAGTCCTCTGTGCTTCTTACTCTTACTGCAACATACCCAACAAACCTATGAAAGTTGGCTTTAAGTACTTAAGAGAACCTGTGCAAAAATGGAGATGTTATAATGCTTCCCTGACCTCAATATGATCTCACCCTAACCTTCATGTCATAAGATCGTGTCACTTAATCCATTAGCCATTATTTCAAGGCAGTGAGTAGTCACAGGAGTGATGTGGGTCACTATGTATTTCAGTGTTAATGTCTTTGTAGTTCCATTGATGTCTGACCTGTTATTGTTGAACTTACCAATGTCTTCACCAGGATTAGACAGACCTCCTGGGAATTTCCATCCATTTATGGTCTGCATTGGAGAAAAAAATATTAATGAAGTATGCAGCCCATTTTGTACTCTGGAATATGAAGGTGACAGTTAACACATTATGTGAAGTTGAGGTATTGTAATTACTCTTACAAATGTCAGTAAAGATTTAAGTAGAAACTATTTTTTCTTGCTAATGTGATGATCAGAGACATCTACAGTCTGTATGTAATATTGGAACAAAACATCTACTGACTGAAAGAAACTGTCTAACAATCATTAGACAATGTTGCTGCTAGATAACTAGATAGTAGTTGAATATTTTAAAAAGCTGCTATAGACTATATACTCTTATATTTAATCACTAATGTATCCCACTTCCATGTTTCTGGCTTTTAAAAATGTATATATATTTAATCTTACAAACAGGTATGATTTAGTACTGTTCTATACTGCACTGGCTTTAAGATGACTGTGTGTGTCTGTAATAACCATTTTGTGCAACCTGTCACTTGTTTTTATGGAGTTCCAAAACCGAGGCCTTGTGTGTGATTTATGTAAAGAAGCATTTATAGAACTGCAATAAAGTTCAGTACTCAGAACAGAACTGCAGACGTGGTGCTGTAATCGATACTGGTTACGAAGTCCTAGTTCCTACACCTCTGGCAAATGCACAAAGATCTGCAGGATTTTATTTTACATAACACTTTTTATTCCTTTCCTTAATAAATGTGTGTATAAGAAGAAGTTAACTAACCTTCAACTAGAAACTAATGCAGAAAAAAATGTATGCTAGCAAAAAAAAAAAAAAAAAAGTTAGCTTTCCAGGGATTTTAAGCCCCACTGATTACATTGGAAAATGCTTTTTTCTGGGCACTCATAAAGGGCTTGGATAGGAATTGAGAGTAATAGATTAAAAATAGTGCAGATGGAAAGTACATAGATTTGCTGGCTTTAAGATTTGCTTTCAGATCCTGGAAATCTTGCTGTGTGTGCAGTGGAATTGTCCTTTCATGATGAAACACAAACAGCTCTTAAAAATCCACAAGCTTCTATTATAAAGCTGCATATAAACTTAAAATTTCTAAACCTTCCAGACCATAATCTGTAATTATCCATTTCGGGGAAGTGGTTCATTTGGGAGGAAGGAGGAGAGAAGAGTGGTGGGACTGGCATTGGCAAATAACTGTCTGAGCCAATTTGCTTGCACGGAGGTAACTGCTTGCTGCACAAGAACTGTATGGGTATTCACACACCTCAGTTTTTATACTTAATTTAAATAAAAAAATAAAAATGAGCTGTAAGGAGAAGAGACAGAAACAATCAATTTTCTCCTTTCAGCTCACCCACTGTAATAACAGCTCTGTTCTACAAAGGTAAGTAGAAACAGCTGACCTGGAATGTCATCCCACCTTTCAGATGGAGCCAGAGAAAAGTGTGGTGCTGTGCCTGGTCCTGTTACATTCAGGAACCAGAGGGTAAGGAAGCAAATTCTGGTGAGTATAGAATTGGATGTCGAACCTCAACAGAATATCTGATGTCTCACTGTAAAACTGGACAGAGATATTTGCACTTAAAATGGCTGTGGTTGAGCTTTAGCAATAACTCAGTGTTAGCAAGTTAAATCTTAAAAATCTGTTGTCCCATGGGCTTAGGAAGCTACTGCTTCCTTTGAGGTTGCAGAATGTGTAGCTTCCATTTTTACTCTTTGAGATCTCTTTTATTTAAGGTACTTATTGAAAGGTCAGCGTGCAATTTCTCACTGTTACATGCACAGAAATGTTAAGGAAAAACAAATGGAGTATTTGTATTACATACTGTTCTTTTCTTAGAGGCTCTCTGGGATTAGAACCATTTCTGGAGCCTATGCCTTGCATACTGTGTTTATGCTTTAATTGGTAATTATTGAATGAAAGCCTCAAGATCTCGTTGTAGAGAAGTCCTTGAAATTTTACTGTACAGTAAGTAAAAATATACAATCAGCAATCTATATGGAACAAGAAAAGGATGCTTTTCTTCCTCCCAGTTTGCATTGCAAGTTCAGTGAATGAATCTGCCAGTGAAAACACATTTTCATTAACTGTTGTGTTACCATGAAGTGATGGTTAACTTGGTTTTCAAGAAAAATTCTTTAGTAGTTATTTCAGGAAAAGCAGAACAATATAGCCAGTGAGATTTTGGCTTAGATTGAATTATAAAGATGATGCAACCCTGTGTACTTCAGTTAGCATGTAGAGATTTTGACTTTTTTTTTCCATGTTAAAACTGCAAATAACCTTGCTGTCCTAGAGATGCTTACTTCATTTGTGAAAGATTCTTTGTCTGTTCAAAGCACAGTGTAAACTAAATGTATTTTAAACAGACTAGCAGAGACAGCTGCAAATGAGCTAGTGAGCTTTATGCACTTGTGTGTTAAAACCTAGGTTAGCTTGATAGTTGCTAGAAGAAATTTGCAGTGATGGATGCTCGGTTACCTCAAGCCACATCACATAACCCACCCCCACCACACTAACGCTCTCTGGTTTGGCATCCTCTGTAGTGAGGTCAAGCACTTTGGTTTGTGAGAAATTCACAATCTTTACACCTGCTTTACAAAGGTGGTTTACAGGTCATGGCCAACCATGTCATTGCTTATTTAATCCCACAAATATGCCTGGAATTTCAGAAACCAAGCAAAATCACAGTCTCCCAAAATCTGCTTTAAGCTGTGAGTGCTTTCTAGAGATCTGCATGGATCCAAACATAAGCTCAGGTACTCCTGGATCAGTTACAGGAGAAACATAAAACATGAAGCAGAAGGGGTACGGGGTGATGAAGCCAAGAAACAGAGTGGGTTTCTTGGACTCTTCTAACCCATGTGGTGTGGCAGAGGAAGGACAAAGCCAGTGATCTGGTACATCTTCACAGTACTGGGAACTGCAAACTGAATGCTCATCAAGGAAGAAGTAGGTATTCTTTTGTACAGATATGCTAGTGCCTGGAATACCTATACTGTTGCTTTTTAGTAGTAACCAACTACATTACTTAACCTTGTCCTTTTTCTACCTATCATGCTTTTTAATCTAATGCACTACTAATGAATGTTAAAAATCGTCAAGTAAGATAAACACAAATGCAATACAAATGAGCATGCATGCACATACCTGTCTTCATGCTTGTGGACCTTAGCTGGGATCATTTGCCTAAATGAATTTGATGAAAGGAGAAACCATATAAACCTAAATGAACTTCTCTACTTTACAGCCCTGTAGCAAACTTACCTTATTTCTGTCTTGTACAACCAGCACCTTTCCATTGTTTTCATCCAATACAGCACCTATTAGAGAGACAATATTGAAAAAGATGTTGAACGATTTAATGTGCTTTGATGAAGTGTGACAAACCCCTAATGATCATTATCAGACCTAAAGAATGCAAGATCAGAATGTCTACAGATAACCCAGCAATGCTGCTTTCTTCAGCAGGAATGTGTAATCTTACTGAAATAAGAGATTTTTTTTCCCTTATTTTGGCCAAATAGCCAGGATAGGCAAGAACTTTTCTCCAGTGAAATTCATGACAAAACTGCTTACAATGAAACAGTAAGTGTGTTTTCTGGCTGATAACACTCAAATTTTAATACTTGGGGGGCTGACGTGTACTGCTGAGGAAAAAATTCCAGCAACTGAACGGACTCATACTCCACTGCCCATAAAACAACCGATGACAGTGCAGTCTCTGATTAACTTGTTAATCAAAGACCATTGCTCCCAAGTGGAAAAATGATGCTTTCACTTAAAGAACTGCATCTATTAGAATGTATGAATGAGAAATTCAGCTTTTCCGTGCATCCTCATGCTGAGCCCAGGAATTTCTCCCACAGAGTGAGTTTTCCTACTGTTTAAAACCCAAGTGCTTGCATGTCTAAGCATCATGTCACTCTCATTAGTCATAGTGTAAAAATGTTTTCCCTTTAAAACAGGCATTCTGTCAGATTTTAAAGCTGTGCGCTGTGGTGAGCAGAATAAGTACAGCGGTGCAGCTTACCAGGTCCTTTTCCACATCAGTCATACGTGGGTTTAAAATTAGTGGGTAAAAAGTGCTTCTGGCACTGTACAGCAAGAGGAAGAATATATGGATAGCTCTGTGATGATATGCACATTTAAAATGCTATGGAGAAATATTTCCACAGAAGGGAATCATTAAGATATGAGTGTCCAGCACAAAACATCTTTCTTTAAAAAAAAAAAAAAAAAAAAATACATGGCAGAATTATGTGTAGGAGGAATACTTAAAAAATAAAATACTAGTTCTCCTTCAAGATATGTCAAAGGATGTGCTTTAAGAGGGTAGTCACGAATCTGCTTCCCATTATTTGTGACAATGATCTCATTTCTCTTGTAAATATTTAGCAATGCCCAGGTTCAAGTACTGTACTGATCAAAAGAGGGGAAAAAAGGGAAGTGGGAGTTTTTGATGCATGCTGTGATTGCAGGGATTATTTTCTAGAAAAGCCTTTTTTAGCCTGATGGTTTGCTGAGACCCAGGTGAACTGCTGAAGACAGGATGCTGCAGTATGAACCAGACAGGAAGAACTCATTTTTTCCCCAAAAACTGATGCCTGTGAATGTAGTTTCTGGCCATAAAATTCTCTGAGATATCCAGAATCTCTAAGAGATGACACTTAAATGCAAAGCAAGAAGTAAGAAATAGCACTGATAGGCTTCGCTCTCTGGTCTTGTTTTGCCAAGCAAAATTGAGAGTCCCCTGCTGCAGCTCACTGGGCCACACCTGCTCAGCATCAGTGAGGCCAGGCTCTACCCATTGGCTCAGATTTTGGTTTTGAGAACTTCCACTCTTTAAATCATCCAGCCCTAGGATGCCTTTCCAGAAAGGCTGATGCTTGAGACTAACCAAGCAGTCACTGGTACAACGCTGATTTCTTTTGACTGCTTTTTGTTGGTAGGTAAGAATCTTATGTTTGAAAGCCCTGAGACAACTTCATAATAAATAATGGAGGGGAAAAATACCTTCCCTCTGGCAGTTTTATTTACAGTTGATGTAAGCATGTGACAAGATGTTCATAACAGCAGACCAGTTGTCTGGCAAGCACCCCTGAGGGCTTGCTTTATAAACATGACCAAGCAGCAGCAGGTATTGATCTGTAAAACAGCCTGGTGCCTTCTTTTAAATCACTTGTGATTGCATGGACAGCCATGACTACATAAGGCATCCTCCCAGCAGGCTGACCTTCGTGCAGCGGCTCGCTCCATACAGTTCCTTAAGTAAAAGCTTCTTTCGCTTTACTCTTCCTTCTCAACTTCTCTTCTTATGCCATTGCTATGGGGCATATTTACAAATATGTCACTTTCTGGATGGCAGAGAACTTCCCAAGTGCTTTTCAAAAACGCCTTGATCATTTCATTCACCAGAAGCTTTCCTGTCCCTTTACATATTTGGAAAATCCTGCCGCCTACGAACGGATGCAGTAAGTTAGCCAGGAGATGCATCACATATTCCACTATTTCTAAACAATAATGGCCAAACCCTATGAGTAACATTTGCTACTTTCTCTTCTTGGCGATTCTGATCTAGTCTAGCCAATATGGCCTGACCTTGCTTATTCACACCTTTGTCATCTCTTGGCTGGCTGAGGGTAAGGCAGCAGCCCTGGATGTGCGGTGTTCACCGCGTGGGAAGCTACAGACAGTACAACAACAGCTGCTGGTCTGCTTGGCAGTGCAGGCTCTGCTGTTTATCTCCAGAATGCTTAAGGGACAAAGCCTTGTCTTTAGCTGGCTGGCCATAGTGCTGAGATGAGGACTCTCAGCAGCAAGTTTGTTTCTCCTTACTGCAGAAGCTATCATAGTGTCATGAAGGTTGGAAAAGACTGCTAAGATCATCTAGTCAACCATCAGCCCATCACCACCATGCCCATTAATCCCTAAGTGATTATTCTAAAACACAGAGTTATTTTTGCACAAGAAATAAGGACACCTGGAGTTTGGCACATGCACACTGCTGATGTAAAGTGTGACCATATTTAAATATTTTGGTATTAGAATAAAATGAGTTAAAAATAGAACAAAATGCTTCTGCTACCCAGGATCTGTTTGATGGGGTAGAAAGATAACAGGTTAAACACATGCCAGGTGATGTCCACAGTGCTTGGTGCATTTCTGCAGTGTATTCCACATCCACTGATGGTGCATAAAACATAAGAATATTATTGCAGTAATTGCTTTCATATGCAGAAATATCAGCTTAGTTCACCAAATGCTTTTCTGAGGTCTTCACCCGTTAAAAGAATTTTCAGCCATGGATAAGAAGGACAGATTTGAAAAGCAGTAGCACACTATATACGTTATCTGTTGTGTAATATTTACATGTGCGCAAAAACTATGAAATCCATATCTTCCCATTTATTAAACTGCTTCTTTTCTCAGAGATTTCATTTTCTATTTTCACAGAATGTAACTGAAGTGATCAAAAACACAATAGCAAATGATATTTTGAAAGTGCAGGTTTTCCTGCTATAATTTTTCCAGATCGATTTTTCTTACAGCGAGCCTTTCCTGACAACCCACCCACAACACTCCCACTGCATGATTTTCTTTTAGGCAGCACTTTCAGCTGTGCACAACCTACTGCAGAAAAATCCCCTTTCAGTTAGTCATATTTCCTCAAAAATGCGAGAAATAAAAGTGCTAATGCGGTGCTTTTCTTTTTTTTTTTTTTTTTGAGAATGCATTATCTTAACTCGAGTTTAATGCCACATATTTTAATGGTGAGATTTTCGTCCACCAGGAAAACATGCTCTAACATGCCCATTGAAAAACTCAGCCTGCCTTCAGCTTCCACGCTGCCCTCTGCTGGCTTTCTAGCTGCAAGCTCACACTGACCACAGCACCGTTTGGTAATTGAAGCCATTGCTTTTCGAATGCTCACTTTCAACCTGGCCTGCTGCCAACAGCCCAGCTCCTGTCACAGCAAGAAGGGTCACTCGGCCCCTCGCAGCCAAGACTGAAAAAGTGACGACATTCAGGGGGAGATGTGCACAACCTGAACCGGGCTGGCACGGCCTGAGCCATCATCACCAGCCTACAAGAAATTGCTGATTTCTTGTAGCTGTGTGTCTGTGGATGACTGCTGAGAAGGAAGGCAGACACATGCACATTTGATGAGGCTGAGTTCAAGCTGACTGTGGTTTTGGCTCACCATTACTTCCTTGCACTGTGATGTGTAAGAAATGGGACACCGTCTTCTTGGTCCTGAGTTTCCTTCCTTTTTAGAGCAACCTTTCCAGCAGTGGTTGGGGGGAGGTCTAGATGGGCCTAGGTATTGTCCAGGTGCTTGGGACATAGCCCTGTTACACAGACATGTCAGAGCAGCTTCTGGACTGTGACACTTGTAGCCAACAGCTGCGCTAGCTCCTTAGCAATCACTGCCGCTTCCGTCTGCCCCGTGCACAGACTTTTTCCTCAATTGGAATGGCTGCAGAAATCAGAAGATTGAGAAACGCACAGATGCACTCAGGGCAGATCGGTGGAGCGATCCCACGTTCCTATCGCTATTCCCACACTTGCTGCCAGCCTTCCCGCGGCAGCTCCGTGCCACTCACCTGCGACTCCCAGCTGGTGGCTGGCGAAGGCGGGCAGCCTGCTGGGCCCCTCGCCCAGCCACCGCGTCAGGGTGGCCGAGCCCGACTCCGCGTGATGGAAGTCAAAGCCCTGCGACGCGGCCACGGCCGCCAGCCCGCTCTGGAGGATGGGAACGTGGAGCCAGACGGCGACCCGGCCTTCCTGCTGCCACTGGGCGACCGAGGCTGGAAGAGAAACGCGGGGCCACCGGTCAGGCCGCAGGCCTGGAGATGCGAAGTTTAGGACAGACTACCAGCCGGCCGGCTTCCAGTGGCGCGCAAGGTAGGGTTTCTGCGGGGACGTCTGCGCTCGGGCCCGACGCTCCGGGCCTAATAAATACGTGCCAGGGGAAGGCAGAGCGGCGTCAGCAGCGTTACGCTGTAAGCGGCATTAGGTTACCGGCAGCGCGGTGCCGCTCTCGCCCGGCCGCGCGCACCCACCTCCCCCGCCCGCCCGGCTCCGCCGACCCCGTGTCCGCCACTTGCCCCGCAGCCAGCGCCCGAAGGCGGCCCGCTCCCGGCGGCGAGGCCAGCGCAGCTCGGCCAGCTCCACGCTCACCCCGCCATACTTGTCCAGCCGAGGCTGCGGCCCGCCCCGACCCCCCCCGGCCGCCGGCCCCCGGCCTCGCGCCCCGCGCAGCGCCCGCCACAGCGCCGGCCCCGCCATGGAGCGGCGGGAAGCGGCCGCCCCGGGGGCGGCGCCGGCCTCCGCCTCCGGAAGCACTGCGCGGCGGCCGGCGGGCGGCATGGCCGCCCGGCGAAGAAGCAGGGGACGGCCGGCCCCGGGTGGGAGCTCCCCGCTGGCCGGCGGGACCGAGGGCGGGCCGCCGCTGCTGCACGTCGCCGAGGCGGTGCAGGCAGGTATGCGGCCCAGACGGTGGGAGCGGCCCCGAAGGCGGGATCTGCCGCCCCGAAGCGGCGTCGGCACCGACGGCCTTTCGCTGCGGCAGACGTGAGGTCTGCTTGGTAAACGGCACGCGGGCCCGGCTGCTCACCCGGCCTTCGGTGCCACGGGAACGCGCTCTGTCTGTGCGCGGCCCGTGCCGCTGAGGCGCGGCCTGCGGGCGTGCTCGTGTGGGAGCGCGGGGTGTGCGGCGCGTGTCCCGTGTGCAGAGCGGTGATGTGCTTTTCCCGAACCTTTCAGAAGATGACAAAATCCCCAAGATGTTCCGGAGAGCCCTGGCGCAGCTGTCTCTGAACAGCATGAAGGCCGCCAACATCTGCATCGGTCGCCCGGTGCTGCTCACGGCGGCGGGAGGAAAGCAGGAGGTGGGTGAGGCCCCTCCATACTGTACGCCTCCTTTGGGCAGCCCTCGCGTTTCCGTCCGCTGGGAAACTCGGTGCTACTCGTACTTTAGCCTTCTGTGGAACCGGGTTGCAATCTAATCCTCCTTCTTCCTCAGCCCGTGTTTTTATTAATATTGCTTACTTTGGAGAACCGAACGTGGGGCCGCTGACAGCTGTTTGCTTTGAACCTGCTTTGAATGGCATCCTGGCTTCTACCAGAAGTAGTGTTGCCAGCAGGACCTGGGAGATGGTTGTCTCCCTGTACTTGTCACTGATGAGGCCATATCTCAGTTACTGTGTTCACTTTTGGGCACTTAACTACAAGAAAGACATCCATGCCCTACAATGTGTCTAGAGAAGGGCAGCAGAGCTGGGAAGGGTCTAGAGCACTTCACTCACATAAGGCTGAGGGAGCCGCGGTTGTTCAGTCTGAAGAAGAGGAGGCTCTGAGGAGACTTTATGGGCCCTCTACAATTGCCTGACAGGAGGTTGTGGCAAGGTGTTAATTGGCATCAACCTCTTCTCCCAGTTAACAGTGATGGGATGAGAGGTGATGGCTTCAGGTTGCACCAGGGGAGGTTTGGGTTGGACATTAGGATAAACATCTGAAAGATTGGTGATGTACTTGCACAGGCAAGGGAAGTGATGGAATCATTGTTCCTGGAGGTGTTCAAGAAATGGGTAGATGTGGCACTGAGGGACACGGTTTAGTGGGCAATGTTGGTGGTAGGTGGATGGTTGCACTAGATAATCTTAGTCGTCTTTTCCAACCTACGATTCTATGATTCTTCCAGGTCTGCACTGCCTGGCCCACTTCAGGCTTCCCAGGTGGGAAGATTGGGCTGAGTGACACCACACAGAAGAGCCTGAGGGTCAGTGTGGGTGATGCCGTCACCGTGCAGCCCGTGACTGGTGCGGTCATCCAAGCAGAGGAAGTTGCTGTGAAGATGAGGTATGGAATATCTTGTCCTCTACTAATTATGTCTACTGCAAGGCATCTGCTTTGCACTGCACACTCTTAAAAGGTAACATTTTTCTTTCATGCTTGCATGAAATTAGTAAGATCCAAGGGAATGGCATGAGGCTGTGTCAGGGGAGGGTCAGGTTGGGTGTTAGGAAGAGGTTCTACAGCAGAAGGTGGTGGGCATGGAACAGGCTGCCCAGGGCAGTGATTATGGCCCTGAGCTGCCAGAGTTCAAGGAACAACACTCAGACATATTGTCTGATTTTTGGGTGGTGCTGTATGGATCCAGGAGTTGGAATTGGTAATTCTTATGGGTCCTTTCCAGCTCAGGGTATTGTGCGATTCTTTGAAAATTAAGCATCCACAGATGCTTGAGGGATGAAGAAGGCTGAAGTTTAATACCTGGTGGCTAACTGCTGCCTCCTGTGTGGGAAGCAGAGTGGGTCAGCTGCAGCGTGAGGAGATCTCAGCTGAGGGAGGATTAGTGCTGTTGTGGAGAGTGAGATTGTGACTGTGTGGTTAGGGTGGGTTCTTTAAGCTCTTGAGTCACTTGTAAGGCCCAAGGATGGTCTCTGCACAGTGTTGATGTTAGGTTAGAAAGAACCAGAAGGAGCCTGTGTTGTGGCTGTTGTCATTGGAGGTTGTGCTGCAAGCTGCTTCCTGAGGAGCTCCTGGTGAGAAGTTGTGCCATGGCTGGGGCAGTGGAGGTCTGACAGGCTTGGGAGAGCCCTCAGAGCTTCATCTATGATGTGTGTGGCTTTTACTTATTGGAATGTTTGTTGGTTTTTTTTTTTTTAACTGGAAACTCTCGTAGAAGGGGTTTGGTTTTTTTCCCCTCTGAATTCACCAAGGGGGAGAGCAGAAAGTGCAGATTAAGGCTGTCTTGAAATTACAAAGGCTTTGAAAAATTAGCCATTTATTCGTCTGCTGAATGACTTCTTATCTTTATCACTGACTTAACATTCCGCAGTCAGCATGTGGGTTGATGCAGAATCTGGTTATGGTTATTTCCTAAATAAAGCTGTTTTCTAATCACCTTGAAAAGTCTCCCAACACCTGTAATTTCTCTAAGAAAATGAAAAAATCATGTCATTGAAGCTTTTTGCTACTGCTAATTTAGTCCTATAGGAAGTTTGATTTGATATTACAATATTTGATTGTTATTGCAAACAGTTTGGTTATACAAGACATAAGGTTTGAATTTCAGGTGGTCCTGTGCAGACCCAGGAGTTGACTTGTGCATCCCTTCCAGCTCTGGATATTCTGTGCACCTGTGATAAGGATGAAATCAGAGGCATCACTTCTGAAATACTTGTGATAACTGTAATTCTTTTTGAAACTGCTTCAAAGGGAGAATTTTCCTTCTGAAGAAGGATTTTGTGCCAGAATCCTTTACTTGGGCTCCTAGAAATGCTATGCACAGTGTGCCCCCAAATTTAAAGTCACATAAATTAAGGTTTTTCTAGAATGGGTCTAGGAGAGAACACATACAAACAGGAGTTAGTCTGTTTTAAGCCTACTGATGTACTGCAAACCACTGAAGTAAATTACAGTGAGTTGATATGTACTAGGTTAACAGTAAATTTACAGCCAATCTATCAGATAAGAATATTAGTTATTAAAAGAATAAATGGAGTCCCATTGTCCCAGAATTTCTTCGTTTTCTAGATGCTTTACAGGTATCATTTATTCTCTGAAAATTTGTATCTCTGGGGATTTGCTTGCATGCATTATTTATTTTCCAGTTAAAACCAACCTTCAGTCTCAGACCCCAGCAGTGCAATTGAGTGTGTGTTTGCTTGTCAGGAGCAGCTGTGCCATTTTGAGGGCTCCCCTCTGATAGCAGAATGCCTCATTCCCTTAAGTTACTTTTTTGATCTCTGAAACTGAGACATGGATTTTTATTTCTAGGCTTGGAGCTCCCTCTCTTGGTCATAGTTTTATTTGCAGCTGCTGCATCTGATTCAAATGTTTTTGGTGATGCTGTTCTCTTACAGGGGCTGACCTGTGGGCTTATAATATATAATCTAAATTTGTAAATGTAATTTACTCTGTTGTTTATTGCAGCATTTTGTATGAAAAATGGAACAAAATTACATACAAACACTCATTTTGTTTGCTGTGTGACTGATATCTTAGGAGTCGTTACTGGAGCCAAAGAGGAGCTCATTTATCTCTTCCGGTTGTGGGGTTAAATCTCAGTGTGTAAAGTTGGTGGTATTCATTGTCCTCGTGCCTTGGTGGCATAGGCTCTGTAGACTCTAGTTTTTGTAGCAGTTAGTGACTGAGAAAATATTGTTTCTTCTTACCACAGGGATAAAGATGCCTGCATTAATGCTGAGGAAATGTCTGTCTGTCTGCTGAGAAACTTAGGTATAAATTTTGTTGCTTTTCTTTTGACTATTCAGTTTTTTATGGTGCAGTGGAAGGACATTTTGGACAGAAAAGCAGAGTGTTTCCTCTGTTCTCACTTGAGGGCTTATGCCGAAATAGAAGGGATTATTCGTCTCACAGGGATCTTTGGGCTAAGTCATATTACTATGATTCAAATATCTAACTTGTCGTAATCCTGCTCTTTCTGTCCTTTGTACCTATGGCTGTTTCAGATACGGTTGTTGAGCTGCCATTGTTGGCCTCCTGGCTGATGGACTTTGGGATTCTCTTGTGTGGCGATGAAAAAGAGAACGATATTATGCATTAAGAACAAGATAAGGGATCAGTACTGGTGTGAAATCCCATGCTCTGAATCTTTAATGTATTGATAATAAATAAGCAAAGTTACTTTTCATTGGGTAGCAAGCGTCTGTAAGTAAGGAAAAAAT